TGCTCTACCCCTTCTTTCCCAGGCCATTGAAGAAGGGAACCTGGATTCCCTGGACCATTCTGATTTTCAGAGGACAGACATTCCCTTTGAAGTGCCACTTCCAGCCCATCAGCATGTGCCTGTGAGTGTCACCTGTCTTCCTCAGCTCCTGTGAGCAGTGATGCTGCTTCAGGACCCTCTGAACAGGGATTGGGGTGAGGCTGGGATTGCAGAGACTGCAGGGGATGGAAACGGACCCAGAACTGCCACCTTCTGCCTGTCCCCCCACTGCAAACACAAAACGCACATGCACAGACGTGTTTCGCACACAGACGCTCGCTCACGCTCCCCACCATGTACGCGCATGTCGTGCTCCCTGCTGCTGGGGGCTGCAGCCAGGCAGCAGCATGGCAGTTCCAGGCCCTGCTCTGGCCTTTGCCTACAGGAGGAGCAGCGGGAGGAGGTGAGGGACTGGGTGCTCACCATGTCCATGGACCAGCGGCTGGAGCAGGCGCTGCCGCAGGATGAGCGCGGCACCTACGAAGCCTCTCTGGTAGCAGCAGGTACTGGGGTGCACTCCCTGCCCTGCCTGCTAACAGGTAAGCTCCAGGCCAGCTCACTCACCCAAGAGATGGCACAGTGCCATGCAGGGAGTGAGAGCAGGCTGTAGGGTGGGTCTGTGAGGAGGTCTGGGCTGTGCTGTAAGAGGAATGGAGAGACTGTGGCTGTGGAGAACCAGCTCTGCTGGAGGAGACAGGGCTCTTTTTTACTGTGGGGGTGAGTGAGCACTGGAACAGGTTGCACAGAAGTTGTGAGATCGCCATCCTTAGTCAAAAGCTGTCTGGACACAGCTTTGGGCTGGATGGCCTTGCCTGAGCAAGTCGAAGCACACAGACCCAGAGCAGTTCTGACTTCAGTCACTCTGTGGTCCAGTGATGGCTCAGGCTGGCCAGCACAGACAGTCAAGAATGGGCAGCACCTGATCCTGCTCTGAAGTGCAGGATTTGATCAGAGAAGGGGGAACAGGAGTGGGCCACCAGGAACAGGGCTCTGGCTCCAAAAGTCAGGAGCTGGGTGCCATCGTTGGATCTACTCACTCGGGTGTCATTGCTCAAGGGCAGTTCAGCCTTTATCTTCATTTGATCCTACCACTCTGGACACCCCTTCTTCATTTTGGTCTCCTAGAGACCAAGGCAGCATTATTCCCTCCCAGCACATTGTGCTGTTGGGGCAGCTCCAGCTACAGCACAGGGAAGGGGTGCACCAAGTGAGAGCCCGCTGTGGGGCTCAGCTTGTTCTGAATGTGTCACTTTGTGCCCAGGGTACCCAGTGCTAAGAAACAAGATTGAGTTGAGGCCAGGTCGAGAAGTGAAGAAGGATGTGTGGTACAAATTCGTGATGGCTGTCAAGGTGAGCCAGAAGCCCTCAGGCAGGGAGGCAGGCTGTGGGTGGGGTTCAGCCCCTCATGTTGACAATGCAGCATCCTGCTGGGTGAGTCATTGTCCCAGGGCAGTTTACTGCACTCTCCTGACAGTGCTGCTTGCTGGGGGTTAACAGACCCAGTCCTGCCAGCCCACGGGGTGGCTTCAGGCAGGGGGCAGAGAGCTTCCCTCTTCCAGTGCCAAGGCCTCTCTCTTTCTGCAGACATCCCACAGCCCTGCAGGCCAGGATGTGATCGAGTTCCTCCGACGGTGGTGTGGGGGACTCCCAAGCACCAGCTTCTCATTCCAGTGAGCAGGACTGTGGCAGCTTTCAGGCCTGTTCCTCAGCACCTTCCACATCCAATAAACATGTTATCTCAGCCCTGCACTGCTCCTGTTTGCCAGGGGATGCTGAGCCCAGAACAGCTGCAGCTGCTAGGCACAGGCCTGTAAACCCTGTACATGAGTCTCAACCCCCACAGCCAGGGGTGACTTTCACACTGAGGCCACAGCTCTGTCAACGTCCCTGTGCTTAGGGAGTGGCAAGCACAGAGATGGGCTCACAGAGTAGCTGCACTTTCCTTTCCGTGGCAGGCCTTGCTCCCAACCAGCATTCACCTGGCAGAGCCACTCAGAACAGCCAGTGTGAAAAGGAAAAGTTTATTTATTCAAGAAAACTAGAGATCCACATGATGAGAATTCTTCCCCTTCTGTTCCCTGACATGTCTGAGCACAGGTACAGCCAGCTGCCATGCCTGCAATGGCACCAAGACTTGGGCCCCAGGACCTCTGTCCACCCCTGTCACTGCTGACAGAAACCGACGGAGCCTTCAGGACACCAGGAAGGGCCTGGCAGCTTGGGGAGAGGATGGGAGAGCATCTGGGGCCCACGGCAGCTGCAGGGTCTGTCCCAGCTGGGGTGGGAGGGGGCAAGGCACACCCCTCACCCCTGCAGCCCACGTTAGGCACACCGACACTGCAGAAGGTGTGACAGCACCTCACCCCCAACCTTGCTGGATCACAGCACTCCTGCAGCACCACCTGGGAGCAAAGGAGCACGTGTCAGTGCCAGGCTGTGCTGCAGGGCCCAGCATCACACTGGCTCCTCTGCCCGTGTCCTTAGGAAGAGGTGGTTTGGAGGGGCTGGTGTGGGTACAGGCCCTCTTGATGGCAGAGCCTCTCCCCCATCCCAAGCACGGTCCACATGGTGCACTCACCTCTCCAGCTACGCAGGAGACTCAGCAGGGCCTGCCAGGAGCTGCTGCCTCTCACGGAGTGGCTTCTCCATTGCTGTACTTGGCCTGGCCAGCTAGAGAGAAAAAAAAGACAGAAGTGTAGGGTGGCAAGGGCATGTGATGGGCAGTGTTCTCACAAAAAAAGAACAGGCCTGGCTACCGGGGGATGAAGAAGAGGGTTGCTCTGCAACTCCCCATGAAGGGGTGCTGGTCTGGCACTTAGGCTGGCTAGAAGAGGTTCCAACTCAGCATCCTCCCCCTACTATTGCACAGCCTTCTTGTTCCCAGCAGAACCCAGCACCGTCCAAATGCAGCACAAAGGCAGCACAAACCTTATAGATAGAGGGAGATCTGTCCAGCTCACCGAGGCATACCTGCTGTGTGCCATAGCCATGTGCACAGGGCCCGATGCCACGGAAGACCAGAGCCACCAAGCAGCTCCTGCCCGAGAGCACGGCTTCTGCAGCTGCCAGCAGCAGCGAGGGGATCCAGAGGGCCAGGGCTGTGTCCTGCAGAGCAGGGGGGCAGAGGAACGTGGGCACTGCACCAGGCTGTCTGAACGCACTCAGCAGGGACTGTGTGGCAGCAGGGGAAAGAAGGAGGAGAGGGAGACAGAAGGGAAGCAGGAGGGAGAGTGAGAGTAAAAAGGAAGGCGAGAGGAACAGAGAGAGAAAGAGGCCGATGTGAGCAGTGGGGTGTGCAGTGCCCTGCAGACTCACGTAGATGCGCGTGGTGTTGAAGGGACAGTCGTTGGTCGCGATGGCTGCGCGGGCGTCCAGAGGCAGCGCGGAGCTGTTGCAGCCCCTGACCAGGTGTGTGCCCCGGCTGTGCACCGTGAGGGCGATGGCCAGCGCCAGCCCCACGCTGCACGCCGTGGACAGCAGGCAGTTCAGCAGAGACACGCTCAGCAGGGCCCAGTGCTGCAGGCGGCAAGAACACGAGCGGGACTGGAACGAGCTCGGGGAAACGCTCGGGCCGGGCACCTATGTCTCTGCAGAACTGCTCCCCCGAAGGAGTACGCACCATCTCCTGCCTCTTCCAGGACGGCTCAGCCTTGCCCTCGGATGAGGCTGTCGCACCTTTTGCATTCTGCACCCCCTGTGAGCTCGGCACCGCTTGACGCCCCTTCTGTCGGGCTCCGTGGAGACCCCCACACAGGTTTGGCCGGGAGCCCCCAGCCCGGCCCGGCTCGGCCCGGCTCACCCAGCCCCGTGTTCGCCCACCCTGCGAGCCCCCGCGGGACCCCTGCCCCCGCTGCAGCGGCGCCCACAGAAGCGCTTCTGCCTGAGGACGGTGCCCTCACCCTCCCGGAACGGCCGAGCCGGGCACAGGCGGCACCTGCAGCGCCGGCAGCCGCCGCCGAGGCGGAAGGAGCCCGCGGGGCCAAGGTCCAGGGGAGCGGCTGCCGGGGGCAGGGCCGCGCCGGGGTCCCCCCCGCTCGGCACCGCAGCCCCGCACTCACCAGGACCGCCCGGGACAAGTTGTGCGACACCAGGATGGCGACGATGCCCGCAGCGATGCTCTGTGGGGAGACCTGCGCTCAGCAGCGCCCGGACAGGGCAGGGCCGGGCCCACCGTCCCCCGCCCGCTCCGGCCGCGCTCACCAGCAGCCCCGAGCACACCGACACCACGTTGGCCGCCGCGTACTCGGGGGTGACGGCGCGGCGGGCGCCGGCCACGTGCCGCAAGACCGAGCCGTGCACGATGGCGCCCAGCACGAGGCTGCCGTGGCCCAGCACGATCAGCCCCAGCCCGGTGCGCATCAGCCGCCGCGGCTCCGCCAGCGCTCCCGGGCCCCGCCGCCCCCCGGCCATGGCCGCCGCCACCGCCCTCGCACCGCCCCGGGGCAGGGACGGGCAGCCTCGGCCCGGCCCCCGCCCGCCCCGCCCCGCCCCGCCCACCAACAGGCGGCACTCGGGTATTTTTACAAAACAGTTTATTAAAAATAGGAAATGATAGAAATGAGATGCAGGAACCGCGGCTCGGCCCCGCCGCTCGCCGAGACCACACCGGGCCCCGGGGCCGCTGCAGGCCCGGAGTCCGCGGAAAGGGCGGGGGGCTACAGGGGCTGCAGGGGCCGCGGGCCGGGGCCAGCACACGCCGTGACCCCGGGCGGGTGCGGACCAGTAAACAAAGTGCAGCCGGCGGCGGGAGCGAAGCGCCGGGCAGGGAGCGGGGACGAGCCCGGCCACCCCCGGGCCTGTGGCGCGGGAATGGTGGGGGGAGTGACCGGGGGTGCAGGGCTTAGGGGCTCACCCCTGCTTACCTTTAAA